TTCCTTCTCCTTCCTCTCCTTCCTTCCTTCTTCCTTCCTTCCTTCTTCCTTCTCCTCCTTCTTCCTTCCCTCCTCCCTCCTCCTCCCTCCTCCCTCGCCTCCTCCCTCTCTCTCTCTCTCTCTCTTTCCTCTAGGCTCATGTTTTTCTTTTTAGCAATTCTGTGTTGCCACCAACTTGTGTCCTAGGGACCCCAATTCAGCCAGATGTTACATCCTAATTCACTTTTTCAATTATTTCTTGATATCATGGACCAATTACCAACTCTGCAAATTGAAAACTGCACTGCTACAACCTTAGCCCTATATCTTCCTAGGAGTTAAAGTGCCAAGTATCAGTTGAAGGTAGGTTTTGATTTTTAGCCTCTTTTCTATTTAAGAGATGGGGGTCTCACTCTGTTACTCAGACTAGAATGCAGTGGCATTCTCACAGCTCACTGCAATCTCAAACTTTTAGGCTCGAGCAAATCCTCCTGTCTGAGCCTCCTGACTAGCTAGGACTACAAGTGCACAGCACTATGCTTGCTAATGTGTTTTCCTCAGATATAGGGTCTTGCTATGTTGCCCAGCCTGGTCTGAAATTCCTGGGCTCAAGCAATCCTTCTGCCTTAGCCTCCGAAAGCTCTGGGATTACAAGCATAAGCCACCATTCCTGGCCAGCTTTAGCGTCCTTCCACAAGTGGTAGAGTAGTGGAGAGGAACCCCAGCCCAGCCACTGGTTTAAAACACTATGTTATTTGCCCTTTTCCATTCCTGATATTTCTGCCTGCCATTTAAAAATTAGTCTCACCAGAGGCTCATCAATTTTATTAATTGTTTAAATAACCTACTTGTGGTTTTATCATTCCTCTCTAGTATTTGTTTCTATTTTATTTTTATTCTTTTATTATTTCCTTCTACTTTCTTTGGACTTTTTGTTCTTTTATTCTCTTGAGATCAATACTAAGCTCATGATCTTTGGGCTTAAAAATAATCTAAAGCTATATATTTCCCTTTCAGCACTGTGTTATTGCATTCATCAGTTTTGAAATGTTAGACCTCATTCCCACCAAATTAGACTTTTGGACTGCAAATTCAGGCTGGTTTTGAACTCCTGACCTTGAGCAATCCGCCCGCCTCGGCCTCCCAAGAGCTAGGATTACAGGCGTGAGCCACAGCGCCCGGCCTAGATGAAGACTCTTAACACTTATTTGGATGATTAAAGTCAGCAGATTTCATGTTAGTCCATACCCATAATTGAGTTTTTTTCTGCCACTAGGCAGAGTTGGGAGTTTTTAAAAAAAACACCAAAACACTGGTTTTCTTTATATTATGTTTATCTATGAAGAATAGCACTAGTATAAGGAAATCTTCAGTTTTATAGTTTTATGTATATAACTTTCTAATTTCGCTAACAAGAATCATAATAGCAGTACTCTAAAAGTATTTCACACAAAAGAACACTGATCACAAAACTAATTCTAAGCACTCTATCAGAAGAACAATTTTCTTTTACAAGCTAAGCTGTTCAATATTAGCGAGTCCAGTAACATCTAGAGGCATGTGGATCATGAATTCTCTAGTAAATGAGCAAATCAAATTCTGAGAAAGGATCTGATGCTTTTAAAACTTTTCATCAGTAACCGGGCCTTGGTGAGTGAGCCTAGATGCTGACAGTTAGCCAGGTTGAACTTGAGAATATAGGAGAAACTCCAAGATTTCCTGCTCAGTTGTGGGTGTCTGTGTGTCTTTGTATGTATGTACACATATGAGGCCTTTCAGTGAGGGAAAAGGATTATAACCAAAAAAAAGGTACAATTATACCTGTATTTCTTTCCATCACTGAATACTTCTAAAGTTGAGGGCATTTTATCATTTGACCTAAAAAAAGTCAATTTGTATAATAGCCTTCTTTGGGCCAAATTGGACAAATTATCATCTGGCCATTCTTATAGTTCATCACTTTTCCTACCCAAAAAGCATCTATATAACTTTTGACTTCGTCTTATAGAGATAAATATGGAACTAGTAAGAAAATTAATTCAAACACATGGAAACATTCATCAGCTATGCTTATAGTTTAACTGATTCACTTTCAGAATCAACCATGGATTTTTCTTTGGAATATTTACAGATTCTTATTTAAATAAGGTACGTTGAAGACCTACCTAAACACTTGAATACAAATTCACCTGTCTGTAAGTTTTTAAAAACAACTACTTGGAAACAGAAAAATGAAAGAATCACATGACAAACCAAGTATCTTGAGACTAAATTGGAAGATGTTATTTCATTTTCACAAAAACAGCTAACTAATGAAACTGCAAGCAACAAAAGGTTTAAAAAACTGCATAATCAATTTTAGTAATGAGCACAACTCAAGTACTACTATGTAAAGTGTTAACTCCTGAAAACATTGGAAGGTTCTACTCACAATATATTTCTAGCTCTATTCAACCATAAGAAATTATGATCTGATGCTTGGACTGAGCACACAGCATGCAGTGTATCATTTATTAAAAATCAGCACTCACTAGAATTTTAAGAAAAACATAACTAGGTCCTTAAACATTTAGAAAATGATGTATATCTAACAAAAATTACAATATAAGTAAAATGGGATCTTCAAGTATGCTACTGAACACCATCAAATGTCTGACTCAGCCAAAAATACTGCATTTTTACCTGCTTCAACTGGTAAAGTTGTCACACAAAGGAGTACCTAGTATTAGAGTTCGTATCATTTTGTTTCCTAAAATTTTAAAGATATATATTTCACAACTATTGAAAATATTTTGTGCCCACCTCTAACTAGTCAAGGGTAAATGGAGAAAACCTTATAATACCTTGTACCATATGAAATTGCTGTTTTTATAGGTCAAAATTAAAAACACTGTATTTAAAAAAATAAGTTTTATTCAATCAAAATATGCACCAGGAGCATTAACAGTTTTCTTCCAACAGAATAGTAAATGTTTAATTTTTATAAAATTCATCATTTGTTAGGCTGTATAAATTGTTCAAATTCTCCAGTTACTGCATCTCAATTGGGGAAATGTGTTGTTTCTTAGAAAAAGCTCCAAATGATAAAGATGGTAGTCCGTTGGTTAAAGGTCCAGTGACTACAATGGATGTGACAAAATTTCATAGTCCAAGTAAATTAACTTTGCTTTAATGGCTTGCGTGAGGTCGAGTCCTGTCATGTAAAAGTATAGTTTCATGTTTATTAACCAAAGAGCATTGTTTTTAAATAAAAAATTTCATGATTTAAATTTCCTGACAAAATGCTGCTGCTGTTGTTGTTTCAAGTGGATTTAAACAGTAGTAATTAATTATCCCTTTCACAGATCACAATACAGTCTTCAGAATTTTGGTCACAATGACAATGGTGTCAACATATTAGGGAACTTCACCAGCATCCAACCATTGTATAAACTGCTATCAATTGTCAAACAGTATTTGCTTTTTTTAGCCACAGATAACCTGCTCCAAAAATAGGTTTCCACTGTTTTGAATTTTAATGAGCACGCCTCCAACTGTTTCCATTCTCGATCATCTCTCAAGAGGGTACTCTCAGGTCCATTTTTACACTTTCCCCAGTCATGGCAGAAACTCCTTAAGACTGCTGCAAGGCCTCCAATTGCTGTTTGTGAGTTAGCTTTCATCTTGGCTCTTAATGATCTTTGTTTAAAATGGATTTTATCTCCCCTGAGGTTCATTTTTGAAATTCAGATCCCCAGAATAAGATTTTCCAAAACATCACTAGCAGAGCCCTCTAAGGACAAACTGATGTTTCTACCTTCTTCATTTGCAATACGTCCCAGTTAAAATCATATTTTTAAAAAAGTATTCACAATTCTTTTGAGGATACTATAGTATTTATTTCTCTGGAAAACGATAAACAATACAAAACAACTCAGTATCAAAATTAAGAGCATAATTCTATCATAATTCTAAATAGCACAACTGGAAACATACTTTATGCCAACTTTACTAATTGCAGTCAATTTTCAACTAATCTGGTATTAGCAATTTCATGTGGTACAATCCACAAGTTAATCAACAAATACTTATTGAAGATTTACTATATCTAAGATCTGTCTCATAGCTGTACAGATATCCTGGAAACATTCACTTGAAAATATGAAATTCACTAACCCAAAGACCCTAGAAGTGGTGAAATCTGACGTCATATTCTATTATTTAAAATCCATTAAAATGTATGCTTTCCCCCCATGTTATAACTACATATATTAAGTTGTGAAAATAAATGAATCCCTAAAAAACTTTTTGAACTAAATGTCTAATGTAGTACAGCCAAAGTTCAGCACTAAAATATACATTTTTCAATGATTCTAACTTTTAAAATTTAAACCTACCTACATTATATATTATTTTGAAGCTTCAAGAGGCTTTTATGTTTATGATAAATAACAACTAACATTTACTTATGTTTCTAAAGCACCTCTATATACATTATTCTCATTTAAGATAGCAGACAAAAACAATACAAAATTTGTTCTAGTAATGAAGTGGAATATCAATAAAAACCAAAAGGTAAAAAGGTTTTTGTGTGTGGTTTTAAAAAAATAATGTAAAACATTAAAATCCCGTGTTACTGAACCCCTCTGTAATACACAGGAAAAGAAACCCACTTTAGTTAATGCCTGTGATTAAGCATCACCACCCACTGTAGGTGGACCAAAAGTTTCTCTAGTGCGCATTAATTGGACATCTTTGTCAGCCATACAGGTATCACAGCCCCATACTGCTGATGCTTCTGCAGTTAGGAGGCCATAAGCTGTTTCAGTCATTCCAGTACAGATCCGATGAAACCATTTCTGACAAGAGGCCTCACATAAGATAGCATCCTGATCATCATTCACTTCATTTGTACAAATTCCACAAGGATACACTGGGTCAGAAGACGAATGACCATGACGGCTTGGGTGGAGGGAGGATTTATTGCTTTTTTCAGTGGTGCATGTATCTGCTGCACTTCTTGGTTGTCGTGGTTTATTCTGCGTCCCGTTTGCATGGTTGTTGTTTGTTGCTTCAGTGCTACTTGACCGACTGTTCTCTTGATTTACTGCATTGTTTCGATTAACATTTTTTAATTCAATATTACTCTGATTCACTGTGTCATCCATATTTAAGTGAGGAGGATGAGCAGAGGAATTTTGATTAGTGTTTTTGGTTGCTCCTTGACTAAAGTCTTGTTTTGGGGGTGGTGCTTTTGCTTGACCAAAAGTGTTTGGAGGAGGAATAAAAGAATGATTAGATTCTAATGGAGAAGTAAAATTTGAATTGTTTCCAGGAACAAAATTAGATGCCAAATCAGGGTTAGAAACTTGAGTAGCATTCTGTGGAGGAATTTGACTGAAGTTTTCAGCAGGATTTTGTCTAAAATGTTGATTAGGCATGTTAACATTCTGACTTAGTGCATTATTGTAAGATGGATTTCCAAAACTTGAATTATCATGTGGCCCAAAATTAAAAGCATGAGGTCGATTAAAACCCATGCCCAAAGGATTCTGAGGAAATGGGTGTGGCTGATTCCTGAGTGAGTAAGGACCACAGTATGGGGAAGACATTCTTGGGGGAACGTGAGGCGGCATTCTGAATGTGCTATAGCCTCCAAAGCCAGGATAACCAGGACCAAGATACGGATTTGATGAAGGTAGTGGTTTATAGGAAATAGTATTATAGTTGTCATCAAATGGATTAGCAGCCACTAGATGGTCAGAGTTTGGATTCGGTGGTGGAGCATACTCAGACAATGGAGGAAAAGAAGGTCCCTGAAATGAGAATGTAAAGTAATTTATGTTTTTGATCAAAAAAGTCATTAAAATTGTCCTTTTGTCTTAATACCTTAACAGAGTTTTAATAAAATTTCTCTTGCAGTGTTACAAAAATTTAATTTCTTCACTTGACCTTTCAATTATGATTAATGTTTATATTTAATTACACTTAATGATAAAAATATGTAGTTTCTTTCATTTAGGAAAGAAAATAAAGTATGATTTTCTGAGCTCAAATTCATCAAATTTCAAATTACTTCAAACCCCAAAATATTTAACTTTCAAAAGAAACTTCATTATCATAATTTTAATTGAATATGCTTACCTATAACTCTAGAACCTTTCACTTAAAATATTAGAGCACTCCAACCATAAATAACTTTTATATCACCAAAGAGTAAAATTAAATAACAATAAACAGGATCTAAATTTTTTTCCCTAGCTTAACTTCAGGGAGACACTATTAAAGTATTCCCAAAACACTAAGCTCTAGGCCTCACACTGGAAAAATAAACTGCCAGTTTTAATCACATTGCAAGTTTAACAGATGGTGGCCAAAATGGACAAAATGGTAATCTGTACTCACATCATACTTATCCATAGCCTTTATCATAAAAAGAGTGCTTCAAATTTACAGAGAACAAAACCATGAAAACCTGGATGTATAACTGCTTATTATAATCACAGGTTATTACAAAAGATGCCTCCATCATGATTGCTTTATGATCCACACATAATATTGAATTAATATAATAGCTGGACATTACTTCAGATTAAAATTATTTCTATACATTTTTAAATATTTTAATAGAACTATAGGCATTTATGCTTCTTAACCTTTAAATTAGATTTAAGAACAAGTATTTTAATTTTTCTGTGCATACTTTCTTCTTGCAATATCTAATGTAGGGCTATAGCTCAAAAATAGCCACTGGTTGCAGACTGAAAAAAAAAAAATACAATCACTGCAGAATTCACTATTAGGTTGTGAGTGAGGACAGGAAACAAAACCCATGATCAAATTTAAATTTACTTCATCAACCTGATCATACCAGCAAAGAAAAATCGTTATTACAGAAAATGGCAATTTACCTGTGTATTTGCCTTGCGTTTTTTCTTATCTGGGCTTCCTAGTTGTACACCTGGTCCTCCTAAGCCATCCAGTCCGCTATCACCACCTAAAAAAAATCCAGATCATATTTCCACTTGTAAGTGAAGTAACGTATATCTCTCATAACAATATCTATTATATTTAATTGTTAGTATGTTTTCTATTTTTGTTCAATAAAATCAATACTAAGCTTTTATTATATTTGTTACCCAAAAGTCTTTCCAATAGTTTTAGCCAGAAACAGTCATTCATCTCTGCTCCCATATTTATTATTATTCTTTTAGTGAAAAGTCTCCCTCCCACTTTCAAATCTTCAATCATCTAGGTTCCCTGTCTCTGAGACCACCACTATTACTAGTTTCTGCTCTATCTTTCCAACGATAATCAAAATATATTCAAGTATATCTTTTTGGGGTGGAGACACAAATGACAGACATTCACTGGTCTGTACCTTGTTTTCTTACTTGGAGATCATTCCATTATCACTACTGCTTTATTCTCTAATAACTGAGCAGTATCCCATAGTATGACTATACCATAATTCATTAAACCCCTTTGTATTCATTTAGGTTGCTTCTAAACTTTTGCTGTTGCTGCAATGAAAATCCATGTATTAACATCTTTTTTTTTTTTTTTTTTTTGAGACAGTCTTACTCTGTTGCCTGAGCTAGAGTGCTGTGGCATCAGCCTAGCTAACAGCAACCTCAAACTCCTGGGCTTAAGTAATCCTTCTGCCTCAGCCTCCCGAGAAGCTGGTCCTACAAGCATGTGTCACCATGCCTGGTTAATTTTTTTTCTATATCCATATAGATTTTTTGGTTGTCTAGATAATTTCTTTCTGATTTTTTTAGTAGAGATGGGGTCTCACTCTTGCTCAGGCTGGTCTCGAACTCCTGACCTTGAGCGATCCTCCCACCTCGGCCTTCCAGAGGGCTAGGATTACAGGCGTCCGCCCCCGCCCCAAGCTCCTTCTTGGTTGTGTCCAAATTCAGTACCTTGTGGTTGTAGGAATAAGATCCTACTTCCTCTTCTGACTATCAGCTCTTACCTCCTAAAGGCCTCCCATATTCCTTGACTCATGACTCTCCCCACTTTTAAGGTATTGGTAGCAATAATGTGTTGAATCCTTGTGCTTCAAATCTCTGACTTCATCTTCTTCAATAGACTGGAGAACTCTCTGTTCTTAGAGGGCTCATATGATTAGGTCAGGTCCACCCAATCTTTCTGTCTTAAGGTCAATTATGCCACCTGATATAACCTAATTAAGGGATAAAAATCCATCACAGAGTCCTGGGGATTATAAAGGATATATACACTATTGAGATGATCTTGGTAGTCATCTTAGAATTCTGCTTACCTCAACAGCTACTGATAATCAAAGCCCAGATCACTGATTCATTAAAGAAGACAAAATGGTGATATTTGGGTATATTTAAACTTCCATTTCTCTTATAATGACTATTTAAAAACCATCTATATTTCCTTTCCTATTTACATGCTTTGTCACTTTTATATACAATGTTTTTTTTTTTTGTTTTGTTTGTTTTTTTTTTTTGAGACAGAGTCTTGCTTTGTTGCCCAGGCTAGAGTGAGTGCCATGGCGTCAGCCTAGCTCATAGCAACCTCAAACTCCTGGGCTCAAGCAATCCTCCTGCCTCAGTCTCCCAAGTAGCTGGGGCTACAGGCATGCACCACCATGCCGGGCTAATTTTTTCTATATATATTAGTTGGCCAATTAATTTCTTTCTATTTATAGTAGAGACGGGGTCTCGCTCTTGCTCAGGCTGGTTTCGAACTCCTGACCTCCAGCAATCCGCCCACCTCAGCCTCCCAAAGTGCTAGGATTACAGGCGTGAGCCACTGCGCCCGGCCTTCTATACAATGTTTGATCCTTTTCTTAGTGATTTGTAGCTCTTTATATATTAAATAGCTCAATCTATTTGAACTGTAAATAGTTTTGTCAGATTATGTCTTTTGATTTAATTTTTAACACATTTTAAAATTTTAAATTTTTAAAAATGTTGTGAAGACATTACAGAGAATTTGGGTATATCCCATACTCAGTTTTCCCTATTATGCTATCCAGAATTTTAAAAATTTTATGCAATAAAAGGCATTAATATTTTATTGTTCAATTCTGGGCTTTGTCCTGTACTTTGAAGAACTATCCCCATTTGAGAGAATAAAAAACAATTCTCTCAGGTTTTCTCCTACTATTTTTATGACTTCATTTTTTTGGTTTTCTTTTGTTCTCTTTTTAGAGACAGGGTCTCAACAAGGAGTGCAGTGGTCATCATAGCTGACTGTAATCTTGAACTCTGGGACTTGAGCAATCCTCCTACCTTCACCTCCCAAAGTGCTACGGTTACAGGCATGAGCTACTGTGCTCAGCCCATGACTTCATTTTTTAATTTTAATTTTGGTAAAACACACATAAAATTTACCATCTTAATTATTTTTAAGTGTATAGTTCAGTAGTATTAAGTATATTTACATTATCATACAAGAGGTCTCCAGAATTTTTTCATCATGTAAAACTAAGACTATAACCATTAAACAACAACTTCCTATTTTTCTCTTCCCCAGGCCATGGTAACCACCTTTCTTCTTTCATTTTTTATGAATTTGACTACTCTAGATATCTTACATGAGTGAAATCATACAATATTAGTCTTTCTGTCACTGGCTTATTTCACTTTGCATAATATCCTCAAGGTTCAGAATTTCCTTCCTTTTTAAAGCTGAATAATATTCTATTGTATGGGTATACTAACATTTTGTTTATCCAATTATCTGTCAATGAATACCTTGATTACTTCTGCTTCTGGGCTTTTGTGAATAATGATGTTATGAACATGAATGTATAAAAATCTCTTCGAGATTCTACTTTCAGTTCTTTCGATTATGTATACAGAAATGGAATTGGTGGCTTATGTGGTAATTCTATATTTAATTTTTTGAGGAACCACCATGCTATTTTCCATAGTATGGCTTCATTTTTGTTATATCTTTGCTCCATTTGGGATTTATTATGGGATAATAAATGAGGTTAAAAAAGGTTATTTTGGGTCGGGCGTGGTGGCTCACACTTTTAATCCTAGCACTTTGGGAGGCCAAGGCCGGTGGATTGTCTGAGCTCAGGAGTTCGAGACCAGCCTGAGCAACAGTGAGACCCCACCCCGTCTCTACTAAAAAAATAGAAAGAAATTATCTAGACAACTAAAAAATATATATAGATATAAAAAAAAGATTAGCCAGGCATGGTGGCACATGCCTATAGTCCCAGATACTCAGGAGGCTGAAGCAGTAAGATTGCTTGAGCCCAGGAATTTGAGGTTGCTGTGAGCTAGGCTTATGCCACGGCACTCTAGCCTGGGCAACAGAGTGAGACTCTGTCTCAAAAAAAAAAAAAAGTTATTTTGTTCTAGGTAGCCAGCCACACAGGGAGTACTTTTTCATTTATTAGAAGTCTTCCTCTGTGTCTCTCAATAAATAGTGTTTTTTAAATGTTTTTGCCTATACAATCAATGCAATCTGTCAAAATTCCAACAGCAGTTTTCACAAGAAAAAAAAATATCTGTTTCTAGTTTAGGACTATGAAAAAACTAAAAAAAATAAGAAAAAGACCTAAAAACAAAAAAAGCAACCTAAAATTTGTATAGAACCACAAAAGACACTGAATAGCCAAAGCAATCTTGAAAAAGAACAAAGCTGAAGGCACCATACTTCCTAACTTCAAATTATATTTTAAAGCTGTAGTCATCAAAACAGTATGATATTCTCATTAAAAATAGACACATAGACCAATGGAACAGAAACAAGAGCCCAGAAATAAACCCACAAATACAGTGCTAAATAATATTTGACTAGGGCACTCAGAATACATAACTGGGAAAGGATAGTCTCTTCAACAAATAGTGTTGGGAAAACTGGATATCCACATGCAAAAGAATGAAATTGGACCCCTATCTTATACCACTCACAAAAATTAACTCAAAATGGATTACAGACCTAAATGTAACACCTCAAACTATAAAACTCCTAGAAGAAAACAGAGGGGAAAAGTTCCTTGTCAATGGTCTTGGCAATGATTTTCGAGACATGACACCAAAAGCATAAACAACAAAGGAAAAATAAATAAGTGGGAGTACATCAAAATAAGCTTCTGTACAGAAAAGGAAACGACAAAATGAAATGGCAACCTGCAGAACGGGAAAAAACATCTGCAAACCATATATCTCATAAGGGGATAATATCCAAAATATGTAGGTACTCATATAACTCAATAGGAAACAAAACAAAACAAAAAACCACAAATAATTTGATTTTAAAATGCACAGAAGACCTGAATAGACATTTCTCAAAATAAGCATAAAAATGACTAACAGGTACATGAAAAGTAGTGATGCCCAACATCACTACTCACCAGAGAAATGTAAATCAAAACCACAATGAAAAAAAATCACCTCACACCTGCTAGGATGGCTATTATCGAAAAGACAAGAGATAATAAGTGTTGGCAAGGATGCAGAGAAAAGGAAACTCTTTGTGCACTGTTGGTGGGAATGTAAATTGGTACAGCCATAATGAAAAACAGTTTGAAGGTTCCTGAATAAATTAAAAATAGAACTACTGTATGATCCAGCAATCCAACTTCTGGATATATAGCCAAAGGAAATGAAGTCAGTATCTCAAAGAGTTGTCTGCACTCCTATGTTCATTGTAATATTATTCACAATAGCCAAGATATGGAAATAACGTAAGTGTCTGTCAATGGATGAATAGACAAAGAAATTGTGATACAGATGACCCTTGAACAATGTAGGGGTAGGGGAGCTGACCTCTCTGTGCAGTCAAAAATCCACATACTTTTGACTCCCCCCAAACTTAACCACTAAAATAGCTACTGATGACCAGAAACCTTAATGACAACATAAACTGTTAATTAACACATATTTTGTATATGTATTATATCTGTATTCTTACAATAAAGTAAGCTAGAGAAAAGAAAACTATTATTAAGACAATCATAAAAAAGACAAAATACATTTACAGTACTACATACTA